CCAATTGTCACATACGGAAGAAAGGATACAGAAGAATAATCACATATAACCATACAATCTTTCCTAAATATATGAACAAAAAACTCCTTCATAAGTTAAAAGTTAAAGGATCTACAAAACAGAAACAGCCGTCTCAATTTTCGCAAGTGTTACGCTTCTAAACTTGATACTGACATGTTGTCTAGTGGCTCCAAACTCCAACTGCTTCTTGGTCGTGGATGATTCGATTACTTCCTGGCTGGCACTCACACTACAACTACTACTACAATCGTTTGCATATTTTTTCTCCTCCTCATCTTTCTTTGTCATTGACGATTCAGCAGCTTCTTGCCTATCAATAGTACTCGTACTACCATTAAAATCATTTTTAAGCTTAACCACTGCGAAGCGGATAGAGTCTTTTTTGGCAAGCTCGGGATCATTAACTCGAAAAAACCAAACCTGAATCATATCCCCTATCTTAAACCCAACCTCCTCATCCGTAGAAATTGAGTTCCAACCCCTGTTTAAGGAATAGGAAAAATTATTGTTGTTATGAGCTTTCCACTTGGTCAACCCTAAGTTATCATGCACCTTTAAGCATGGATCTATCACTTTCACATATACAAATCCATTGTCGTTTAATCTTTCATCGTCTTCGCCGAGAAAGTTCTTATTAATCACTTGATTCACTGGCATTGAGAGACGATCATGACCACTGCTCAAATCAGTCTTGAAAAGTTTCTTCTGGATCACCAATTGCACTTGGTAACCATTCAAGCATGCAATCTTTTCTTTGAATTCTTTAGGCAACTCCGGCGGTGGAGAGTGAATTGATGGAGCGGATGGTTTCGTGCTTGCGGCTTCCTTGGTCGGCTTCTGATTCTTCTTCTTCTTCTTCATCATCATCATCGACGTGTTTGGTTTCTCTTCAAGCTCCTCATCACAATCCTCATAGTATTCGTATTCACCTTTCCTGCTTCGGCTGCTGCTTCCGTAATTAAGCTTCCTGTCTTTCCGATGATAAGAAGCAGAAGCAGAAGTAGGTTTTTCTTCATCATAGTAAGCAGAAGCAGCTTTGCGCTTCTTCGTTTCTCTAACTTTCTTGGCGGCTTTTCTTTCAAATTCAACCAAATCAATCACAACTCTCTTTTGGAGCAAGTCAAGTTCTTCATCTCGGTTTTTCGCAACTGCTTTCACCTCCGCCAGAAGTTTGTTGAAAGACTCAACTTTAAGCTTTCGCACATCGTCCAATGTCATCTTCCTCTCCATATTCGATTTCTCGGAACTCAAAGATCACTAGTTCTTAGGTGTACGAACTGTAAGTCGTGACTTAACTATTAAACAATGGAATTTCTGAAACGTAGGTGGAATTGAGATAGCGAAGAATGCATCGTGCGATTTTGAAGACTGTATTGCTAGTAGGTTTTTATAAGAAAACTAAACACTTTCCTTGTTGGTCAAGGAAAAGAAGCACGAACTATTTCCTAAACCTACAAGGCTTCGGATCCCTTACTTCACTTGGATTTTATTTATTTTTTACTTTCGGCTTTCCCAGTACTGCAGGTGGTGGTGAAATGTTTTGGAGTCAATTTAATTTTGACTGACACTGCAATATTAATTAGTAACTAAGCAAAAACAAGTAAGAGAGAAGGCCAAAAAGCAAGTACTTAAAGTTGATTGTCAAGTAATAATTATTTACCACAGTGTCAGAAAACAATTATGTACTTGTTTGGATTTACTTTTAAAATGATTAAAAGTGCTTTTAATTGGAGAAAATATTTTTGGGTTTCAAAAGCACTTTAAGTGCTTTTTGCAAGAAAAACCAGTTATGTGCTTGTTTTAGGAAGCACTTTAAATGTTTTTTCAGGATTTACTTGCATCTTTATTAATGATTAGTTCTAAAAATATTATCATCAAAAGCGGTTTCAGTCATTTCAAAAACACATTCAAATGAGCTATATATCTATGCAATATGGTCAGGGTTCAATTTTCACCAATTCTTTTCCTTTGACAACTAACTATTTAACCCACTAACATTATCATACTTAAAAAATAATAATAATTAATATGCTCTTGACCCCTAACAAAACTAACTATTTAACTCACTAACATTGTTGCTCTATTTATTTATTTTTGAACAAACGATATTATCTACACTACGGAGATATTAACGTTGTCGCTATTTTTTTGTTTTGAACAAACGCATGCCATACTTGAAAATAATACTCCCCAAGGAAACGTATTCTGTTCTGCCTAGGCAAGGAAGGGTAACCGACGAAACGGACAAATTAAATTAATTGTTACTCAAATCAGGCAATGTAACTGAACATGAATTCAGCATGCACAGCATGCACTAGTAGTAAGTACTAGCAACGATGTCTGCATAATGCTTCGGATTTACAACTCTATTTACACATATATACAAACATATTTATAATCCTATTTATACATATGCTAATCAGCATTTCCGAATTTTCTTGATCGACAATTCAGAATTTTTCTCCCTTATATATATGTATGCTTTTTTGTTACAATTTGAAAAAAAAAAACATTGTTAATATAAATCTTGATATTTTTGTTACTGTCAATAGTCATGTCGTTCTTATACTGCGTCACATGATTATCTTGGTCGGAACCTCCTTTAAAGTACTTGAATCGAGACAGTGAACCTCTCGTGTCTGCTATTCTAGCAGGGAAGTGATCCGTACTGCATCGCACTTACCATGTCAGCGATTCTACTAAACATTTTCACCTTCTGACTCCTAATGAGCTAGGTATTTCCAACTTACAATCTGGCGATAATTAGTTTTTTTTTTTTAAATGACGTTGGTTAACCTTCGACAAATGCATTTTCTTCCTTAAGGAAGAAAAAACCTCCACCATTTACCAATACAGCCACTGGCCTTACACCATTGACATCATCATTACTATTATCGTTGCCGCTTCTGCTGCCACCACAATTGCCACCACTTCCACCACAACCTCCCCTACTAACATTGCTACCCCAACCACCACATCGCAATATTGGCACCACCACTGTCTTGCCACCATTGATTATGCCATCACCATCATTGGTGCTGTTATTGTTGTCGTTGCCACACCCTCACTACCATGTCTATCTTTGTTATTATACATGACTGTAACACTTTTACCTTAAATTTTACCAAAAAATTTTTACGCTAATTTTCATACTCACATCACTTTATTGCTTTATGTAATGGAATTGATTACAATACATACATGTATTTAATACAATTACCATCTGACAATTAGATATAATTCATGTGAATATATGTATTTAATACAATCATCATTTGACTTTAAATGAATTTATGGAGAAGTTAAGTTTTTGCCCTCTCACGTGTTGTTTACATGTAATATTTCGACCAATGGCAACATGTATAACACACATGGACCAATTTGACCAAATTAAAATTATAGGGACTCAATTAGTCGATTGGGAATCACTTTACATCATTTTGACATAAGGCTTTTAAAAGGGGTAGTGTTGTTTACACATCTTTTCTCACTTCATACACATATTTATAGGTTTGTAGCCGTTAGATTGAACAATCAAATTAAAATCAATGATCAAGATTAACAAGAAGTGTGCACAAGGTAAAAAAGGTATGTTGAAGATACCCTTCAATTTGACAAAAAAAATGTCACTACCCTTAAAAAAGAGTGCTATCAAGCCCACATCTTTGTCTTATTTTTCCATCCATATCAAATTAAATATTTTGTTGGCAAATTTGCCCTCTTGCATATTTTGAGTACATCGATATTTTTACACTAGGGTGGAGGAAGAGTTCGACTCAGCCACACAACGGCCAACTTAATTTAGTATCGAATTCGTCATCCAAAAAATTCAAACCTAAAATCTCTCTTGCATATTGACATTGAGGTACTGTTTGGTATGTGGGACGGGACAGAACGGAGTGGGACGAGGCGTTTCGTCCCACGTTTGGTTCGCCTAAAACGGGTGGAACGCACTGTTCCACGGGATGAATTTTGGGTGAATTTTCGTTCCTCCTCACCCCTGGAACGACTCGTTCCACATCCATGGAACACAAAATTATAACCTATCCGTCTCCTTCTTCTTCCTCCTTGTTTCCATCGGCCATCTTTGCTCCCTTTCCGTTCCGTCCCGTCCCGTCCCGTCCGTTCCGTTCCGTCCCATCTCGTCTTCATACCAAACGATACCTGAAGGACCTACAAAGGCTTCTAAATAAAATTAAGATTGAAAATGCTAAAAATAAAAACCCGAGCGTAAACCAACCTTGACAGCCAATCCATTACCCAACCCATCCTCCTCTCTCGTGATAGTGTGTCATATTGATTTGAATTTGGTGACCAGAAATGTGCATAAGGAGGCCTAGATGAGGGGAGGTAAGCAGTTTACGAGCTGTGGTGGTTACGCCCCTGATGAATTGGTTGTAGAACGGCCTAAGATTATGGATTTGGCGTGGATTTGCTTCAGTTGTTGAAGGCTTGTGCAGGTCTCGATGAGAGTTCGCGAGGATTTGGGGATTTGAGATGTTATTGGGGAATCAATATTGAGACTGCTAGAACGAAATTTGCGCACCGTTATAAAAGGTGGAGATACTGAAATTTGTTTATCTATAACAGAACAAACAATTGTGAGTATGCTAAATCCAAAGGCCAATCAAAGGTTCTTTGACAGTTAAGTTAGTAAGTAATATTAAAAGTAGGTAACATGATAAGTTTGTAAATTGTGTTACTAAAGATGAACTCTAAAATGATATATTTCTACGAAAATAGATTCTCTCCGGATATTTCCCTCAAAAACTCAGGGATCAAGTGATCCAGACCTTTAAAATTTGATCCAATGGCAAAAAAAATATTATAGTTTTTAAATTTTTTTACTAACTTCTCTATTTTTAACCGTTAAATCAAAATTTAAAGGTCCGGATCACTTGATCCTGAACTTTGAAGAAAAAGATCCGGAGAAAAACTCTTTCCAATTTATACTAGTCGAAAATAGGACATTTTAGAATGGTAGAATCACATGAAAAATCTTAGAAAATATTCATACTCGTACTCATCTAGGGTTTTTCCCAGCCAAATGATAATATAAATAGTCGGCTATAATAATTCACTTCACTCTTGTTCTCGTTCTACCCAACTTCTGTCTCTAGCCGCCTCTCTCCAACTCTCTCGCAGATCGCCATGGCCATCACCTTCTCAGATCTCTACACCGAGGCCGGTCTCAAGTCCCTCGACGAGTTCCTCGCCGGAAAATCTTACATCTCCGGGTAACAATTTCTTCTTTCTTCTTACTTTTTTTATTCTGTTCGATATAATATATATATATATTTTTTTTTTCCGCTTGGATTTTACTTTATTTTTGGTTTTTGGTATAATTAAATTAAAAAAATTGACGAATAATTCACTTATCATCCCAATCTCAGAGACAAGCTGACTTTGGATGATATCAAGGTGTACGCCGCTGTGCTGGAAAAGCCCGCCGGTTCCTTTGCCAATGTGAGCAAGTGGTACGACGGCGTTTCAGCCCAACTCGCTGCAAACTTCCCCGGCAAGGCTGCCGGAGTGAGAGTCAGCAGCGGCAAGGCCGAGTCTGCTGCTCCTGCTCCATCTGCCGCTGCTGGAGGCGATGCCGATGACGATTTGGACCTTTTTGGAGATGAAACCGAGGAGGACAAGAAGGCCGAGGCGGAGATGGCGGCAGCCAAAAAGGCTTCTTTGACAGTTAAGTTAGTAAGCAATATTAAAACTAAGTAACATAGTAAGTTTGTAAATTATGTTACTAAGGATGAACCCTAAAATGATATATTTATACGGAAATAGATCCTCTCCGAATATTTCCCTCAAAAACCCAGAGATCAAGTGATCCAAACCTTTAAAATTTAATCTAACGGTCAAAAGATATTATAGCTTTTATATTGATTTCTCTGTTTTTAACTGTTAGATCAAATTTTAAAGATCCAGATCATTTGATCTCCGAACTTTGAAGAAAAAAATCTGAAGAAAAACTCTTTCCAATTTATACTAGTCGAAAATAGGACATTTTAGAATGGTAGAATCACATGAAAAATCTTAGAAAATATTCATCTAGGGTTTTTCCCAGCGCAATGATAATATAAATAGCCGGCTATAATAATTCACTCCACTCTTGTTCTCGTTCTACCCAACTTCTGTCTTTAGCCGCCTCTCTCCAACTCTCTCGCAGATCGCCATGGCCATCACCTTCTCAGATCTCTACACCGAGGCCGGTCTCAAGTCCCTCGACGAGTTCCTCGCCGGAAAATCTTACATCTCCGGGTAACAATTTCTTCTTTCTTCTTACTTTTTTTATTCTGTTCGATATAATATATATATATATTTTTTTTTTCCGCTTGGATTTTACTTTATTTTTGGTTTTTGGTATAATTAAATTTAAAAAATTGATGAATAATTCACTTATCATCCCAATCACAGAGACAAGCTGACTTTGGATGATATCAAGGTGTACGCCGCTGTGCTGGAAAAGCCCGCCGGTTCCGTTGCCAATGTGAGCAAGTGGTACGACGGCGTTTCAGCCCAACTCGCTGCAAACTTCCCCGGCAAGGCTGCCGGAGTGAGAGTCAGCAGCGGCAAGGCCGAGTCTGCTGCTCCTGCTCCATCTGCCGCTGCTGGAGGCGATGCCGATGACGATTTGGACCTTTTTGGAGATGAAACCGAGGAGGACAAGAAGGCCGAGGCGGAGATGGCGGCAGCCAAAAAGGCTTCTACCAAGAAGAAGGAGAGTGGGAAATCCTCTGTTCTTTTGGATGTCAAGCCTTGGGATGATGAGACTGACATGAAGAAGCTCGAGGAGGCTGTTCGGAGTGTCGAGAAGGAGGGTCTCTTCTGGGGCGCATCGAAATTGGTTGCTGTTGGTTACGGGATCAAGAAGTTGCAGATCATGCTCACCATTGTCGATGACCTTGTTTCCGTCGATGACCTCATCGAAGAGCAGCTTACCGCCGAGCCCCGCAATGAGTATATTCAGAGCTGTGACATTGTTGCCTTCAACAAAATTTAAGTCTACTACTGCGGTGCACTACTCTTCGTTATCATAATTACTTGTTCGACTTGGATTTGTGGTACAATTTTCGCAAGTCAATCTACTTTTGATCTTTACATGATGATATATGGATTTACTTAAGTGTTTCAAGTTGTTGGCTTGTGCTATTTTGACTTTTGTAATGCCGAAATTTTACCATTAATGTGGGGGGTTTTAACATGAATGCTTAATTTCTATCTAAATTTTACTTCTTGGTGGATAATTGCTCGAACTTTTTTTACTTTTCAATCGATTGTTTATCCAATCAAGACGAAGTTGGAAGTCAGGTCTGCTCCTTTGTATTTAGTTTCACTCTGTTTGGATGAATAAATCCGTTGTCTAATTAAATGGAATTTGTGAATTGCCTGGGAAAATTATGGGATATATGCATCAAGTTCGGTCATTTTTTGCGAATTGTTTCTTTGATCGCTTTCCAAGTCATGATTGTTAAGGGTGGAAGTACTTGCTGTTACTCCAAGTGTTAAGTTAAATATTAACTAGGTTTTGTGGATAATGTTTCAAGTATATTAGGTCATTATGTCTGTTGGCTAGTGATGTATATCTCTTCTCTGCGTAGTCAATAATTTCATTCGTTCTTTCCCCTCTCACTCGCTCTCTCTTTCCGCTCTTGTACTTGTTATTAGTGATTATTCTCGAAAGTCTTGTTTTTAACGTTGTGGTGCTGTCATACTTTAGAGTTCATTCGTGTAATTTCTTGTGTGATGTTTCATTTATTACCCTGTTCATAATGTGCCTTCCGACCATGTTCTAGTCAATTGCTGGGTGCTTGATTCGAAAGTGATGGTGCATGTTTGTTCTCTAACAGACTGCATCTGTCCAGCGTCTCTGGAATAATTATTTTGGTACCAGAATGCAACGAGCTTGTATTTTCTGTCGTAGTGAGTTTATCATATATATTTTAGTGAGTTTTCCTGCTTAGCTCTACTTTTCAACTTCATTGTGCAAAGTCGATAGGAAGCTGGCAAGTTTTCCTTATTTTGTTTTCTGCTCTCTGATAGATGCAAACTGTATGAAAACCCATGAACCAAAAAAATTGCGTAGAAGTCACGTCACCAAACCGAGTTTCTTGTGTTCTACATGGTGTTTATTTCTGTTGTTTTTGCAACAATTTGGGGCTCAAACTATATTGTCTGAGAAGTATTGCATCTTTGAGAAGGTAAGTGCAAAATTTGCCTTTTTGGAACATTTGCATCTTTTGACAAGTACTGTTATATGAGTATGGCTGCCCGGCGAGGCCGCTCGGTTCGGGTTCTTCTACCAATGACCAATTCCGAGGTTCTTTACCAGAGTCCTTAGCCAAGAACTCGGGTTTAGGTGATGGCTTCTTGTTCTCTTTTTTTTTTATTTTTTTTAATCAACCCCATAATCTTATTAAGATAAAAATAGAAATACAAATGAGGAGGACATAAAGCCAAACCTCATTGATGGAAATAACATAGCAAGTAACACGATAAGGGAACCCCAATTACAAAGAAAACATATGATAAAAATCATTTGAAACAATAGCTGGTAGAAGCAGAAAAGTCATGACTATAAGCAAACGTTGCACATGAATGAACATTGGACCACCAGTAATATGCATCGTGATCTACACCAAAGTTAGCTAAGACATCGGCTACACAATTGCCCTTGCGAAAAATATGGGAAACGAAAACATGCATATGCCTAATCTGCCACAAGCAATTGCTCCAATCAACATGCAAATACCAAGGAAAATTATGGCTCTTGTCATTTTGTCTAATGGGAGCGTTTCAAAGCGCAACCAAGTACATTTCGCTTGATACTGTTATATATATGTACATCTTGCCTTAATTCTTTAATTAATTACTGTGAATAATTTATATGCATCCTGGTGCCAATTTGCCTTTTTATATTTAGATTTTATTTATTTCCATTTATTTTACAGTTTTAGAACCAAGTTCGAGTTTGTGTTTGGAAAAATGGCAGGTTCCATTTGATTAATTAGACTAATTGATGAAAGCTTAACAACTCTGATTTGAAGGGATGGTATCAATCGCCATCGCTCTTGTTTACTCTTTAGACCTTCGACTTCGAGAGGTGAGGTACATAGTGGTCAAGCGCAGGCTGGTCTAAAGAACGAGAGTCAAATTTTTTTTTTTAAGGAAAATTAATAAAAAGGGTTTGAAAACTTTGAGTTTTAATGATAAGGACAAAATAAAAGGTAAATTGAATAGTACTATAATTGACTTTTTAGTGTAAAAATGCGGGTTTTTATTAAAGTGAACAATATCGAAATTTTTTATTAAAATTCCCTTTTTTTTTTGGTAACGTCACTAATTTTTTTTTTAAAAAGAAAAACTAATAAAAGGAATTTTAAAATTTTGCATTTTAATCAAATTAAACCATCTAATAACTTTATTTAATGATAAAGACAAGAAAATAAAAATATAAAAACAAAAAGACAAAAAAAGCTAAGCCCGGCGCGTGCCTCCTCCCGTCCAAACTGTTCAAAAGCTTCAAACTATGATCTCAAACGTACCTAAATTTAAACACGAGAATTGATCCACCACATGAACCCTAGTGGAAAAACTAAGTCTTGATAGTGGATAATTGAGCACATAGCCATGGAAGCTATCTTGAAACCTCACCTCACGGTTTTTCATTGTTGGGAGGGGAAGAAAGCACAGAATGGAATTTGAAGCAAAATGGGCTTTTTCTTTATTTATAATTTACTAGATTCAAATATAAAAGTTAAAAAAAAATAATATGAAAAGGAGAAAAGTGGGAGAGAAATGATTTTTTTGATTTTTTTTTCTAAATTAAAATGCAAGGATGAGGAGGTTTGAAAGAAAAAAAGTGGCTCTTCAAACATTTTTCGATTTTGTGCTAAAAGATTAATATCAAGGATTTAAAGAAAATCCCCCTTTTTGAGTGGCTTTATTTTGCTCCTAAATGTATTTTCATCCCAAGTTTGTCATAAAAAATTTTGAGAACTAGCACTCCGAAAATTTTATTTTGCATTATTCGTAAGTAGGGGTGCAACATGGGTTGGGTCAACCCAAATTCGCTCATGCCCAACCCGATCGAGAGGTTAGAATGAAGTAAAAACTTGCTCAAACCCAACCTGACCTCAAGCCGATTATTTATTAGGTTGTAAGAGCGGGTTCGGTTCATTTCTGTTCGGTTTTTTTACCTAAGCCGAAAACCGAACCGAAGTTTCTATTCGGTTCGATTTTTCTTTCATTTTTTTAGTTCAGTTTGACTTAGGTTGGTTTTTGTCGGTTCAATTTAGATTCAGTTTGGTTTTTATTTTTTTTTATTTTTTTATTTTTTTTATTTTATATATTTTTTCAATAAGTCTATCACCGTTGCTTGGTACACTATATCACTAATGTATGCATTGTTGAAGCTTCAAAGGGAGGGCAGATGCATATTTATTCCATTACCAAAAATAAGGGAAGATGCATATATTTCAGTACCAAAAATGATAAAACAATTTAAATAATTATATGCAATGGGAAATTAACATAGAATCCATTTCATACCATGTATTAGTTATGCAATTGGCTCCGGCCAAAATCCATTTCATCTTTAAGCAGTCGGCAATAAAAAAACAATAACAAATCCTTAAACTAATTGCACATGTACACAGTGTAATGTATTAGTTAGTAAGGGTTAGTTAAGTATTATAAAACTTGTTTAAATGGGTTTAAAATTCGATTCGGTTTAGTTCGGTTTCCGAACTCTTGAAATAAAAACCGAATCAATATAATCCGGTTCGGTTTGATATTTTTAATTCAGTTTGATTTTTCTTCGGTTTGGTTTATTTCGATTTCGATTCGATGTTAAGTTCGGTTCTTTTCAGTTTTCGGTCTTTCGAACCCACCCTTATTGGGTTGGGTTGATGCTTTGCTCGTCCATATCAACCCAAACCCAATCAAATTTTTAACCCAAATTGCTCATGCATATATTACCTATCTCACTTCGTATTATAAACGCTAGATACAAGTTTGGGATGGCTATACCTGAAATTTGTTGTTTGCTTTTCATTTGAACAATGAACAATAGTGTTGCTTTTACGTTTCTTTTGGTTAAAACATTAGTATTGTCTTGTCATTTAATTTTAACTTTGCATGGTTGAAACTTTAGAAATGCGTCCCACGCTATTTGGTTTATTATTTTTAGGGATGGTGATGTGTAAAATTGAATTTTAAATAGTTTTGCATTACTTGGTTCAAAATTTGAGATTTATGTTATAAAGTAATGTGTTAGAAGATTAAATTTGATAAAATTGGGCAAACCCGAACCCGAATAAATCCCTATGAAACCGAACCCAACCCAAACCCGAATTAGAAAGGTTGGGTTGACCATATAACCTGCCCAATTTGCTCGAGTTGCGGCTCTACTTACAAATGTACTTTTCTTTCAAAATATAGAAGTTTGGAGGGTATAGTGAGAATTTTGAATAGCTAATAACAATCCTCAAATTTTTAAAAATGTATTTAATAAGAACAAACATGATGAAAGTTGTGTGCTTAAAAGTGATGTACATAAACCCTCACTTAATCACTGTCACTAAAACCCATGTTGGATTCCATCCGGATCCACTTGATGAGAATCCTAAGGATTTTCCACATCTTAGCAGTTCATCGTATAACGTGTGGTTAGAAATTATTTAATTTTTTTATTTAAAATTAAACACAAATAATATCTGACGAAAACTAACTGCACGATATACGATAAACAGATTGAAGATCCTTAAGATCCCCACAAAATGAATCCAGAGAGGATCATTTTCCACAAAAGTCTCCATCTTTAAACCCGTTTTCTTTCCAGAGAATCCAAGCTCAAGCAAAAGCAAAAGCATCACGATTAACTCAAAGGCCGAAAGACTGGTGAGGACGGACGACCATGGTGGCCACTTTCACTGCTGCCTAACAGCGAGAACATGAAAAATTATTCTTTGGGTTCACAATTTAATTTCTCATGTGTGCAATTTGAGCTCACAAATTTTGGGTTGTGTAACTGCTAGTTGGGTATATTTTGTTTTCGCTTTTCGTCGATTTTGTTCACGTCTTTTTAGCAAAATGACAATGTGAGTGAGATTTTGGGTAGGTTTCTCGGCTTGTGTAGTTACCACTTTGTAATTACAAATGTTTTGGTATTTGATTGCTCAAGACTCCCAAAGCGATCTTTCTACCATTTAGATTTGACTGTTTACGACGA